TTCCTTTTACAAGTCACTTATACGAAATGTATTTACCGACGTCTCCTTTAATAATTTAATGTTTGATTACTGTAAATTACTTTATTTAAATATCTTTTAATTTATTTACGGCCACTATTTCAGTGCATTATTTCATTCATTTTCATTCCACGTTAAAACAATTTATTACACTTAAAATAAATTTGCCAACTTAACAATAACAAAATGTGTATTACGATTAAGTTAAATAAAAAAATTATATAATATTAAAAGGCTGGAAGAAAATGTAACCCCGCATGCTACATACATTTTCCAACATATGCCACCGAGGCGAGAATACAGACCATAGCGTCGCTCTAATGATCCATAACTGATTGTAATGTTACGCGATAAAAAGACTATTTTTTTTTACTCTTACGTTTTTTTTACTTTATATAAACAACAAAATTAAAAAGAAATCAATGGTATGAAAAATGGTATTCTTTACTAATGTAATATTTAAAGAAATCGATTATTTTGTGGTATTAATACTAATTGTAATCGTACAATTAACATTCATGAAAACTACTAATAAATCGACTAATAAATCTTATCAACTTAACCCTCAATTGCACGGGCGTTTTTTGATCGCGCGTTATGAAAACGAAATCTTCAGTACATAGCCCTCATTTAGAGTGGCGCCATTTTATCGCGCGTTAAAAAAGCGATTGCAATAAAATACATTTCCACGTATCTGTTCATACGGCAGCGCTTTTTCAATGGGATTTTTTTTTACTTCACAGTGTTGCATTTTGAGCGCTCGATGAAGGGAAAAAAGTTATTTCCATTGCTCGTGAGCTACCAACGCCGAGTTTTAACGCGGCGTTAAAAAAGCGCCCGCACGTATGAGGTCTTATCGGCTGTTTATTTATGATCGGATGTTATAGAGGCATATTAAGAGCCGTGTATTTAACTAGATGCAATGCGCGATTTTTTTTTAAATCCATTTTTTGAAATAGCAACCCTATGAAACATTTTGTATTTACGCAGATGGCCGGTGACGGAAACGTTGCACGACACGACAGCGGCAGATAATGCGCAACGTATCTGGCCACCGTTTCTATTTTCGTTGGGAATACTGATTTTCTTTTCCACGACACCGGCCTTGACTAACGCGTTCTGAATAAGCAATGAATAACTTTTCGCATTTCATTTACTTTGACGAAGTGTTATTTTCTTAACATTTTTTTGTTCAGTTCCATCAACTTTTGTTCATGGTTAAATTTACAGAACATAATTGCTGTTTTATTTTCTATAATCGTTTAGTGATAGTATCATACTGTATATGAATGATCACATGTGATTGGCTTCATAATAATATAAATTGCATGTACCGTAAACACATAACACTGGTTTTTCTAACGCTTATAATGGAAGCTTACCTTTACTAATATTCTAAAGAGGAAAGATTTGCTTGTTTGCATAAAACAGGCCCCGAAAATACTGAATCGATTTGAAAAATTCTTTCACAATTTCGAAACTATATTATCCCCAGTTGACAAGAGCTATATTTATTACTATTTTTTTAATTTCGCTCGTATACATATATACACATCACTCAGATAATAACTAATAGTGTTTGTCATTCAGAATTATGGGATGTCAGTTCATTATTTTTGTGTACCTATAATTGTTTACGATCGTAGAGAGAAGTCCACGTCTGGGAGACAATAGAAGGTCGAGAGTTGTATCATTACAATAGAATCCGCCTTGGCAATACCTCGCGCATTGCTCGCCAGGAGTTGGCTCATCGACAACTCAACTCACACACACTAAAATGTTTGTTACGATGACAAATTTCGAATGCGTTTCGATAATAATTGTCTATTAATGATGATCATCAAACAATACTCGCTTACAAACCGTAAACTTTTTCATCAATCTTAAAAAAAAACTAATGTTTATGCTAAAAATATCTTAGTTACAAAACAACTTATTTAAAAAGTATTCAGAGAGTTCTTTATCGTAGTCAGATCTAATTCCTGAATTACATTCAATAAAGAAAACATTTAACCAATATGTATGTTGAGATGAGAGGCAATTCGGTTACGGAAATTACTCTACGATTTATTTGCGAACAAATTAAATTATCTTATACGTTTAGTATCTCACAAAACAACGTAAAATATTCGCCTGTCAAATTCTAATACTGATTTACTTGATTTAAAAAAAATATAATTCGTTAACTTACAAAACTGTAAACTATAAAAGCATTCAATACAGACTTTCAGCACTTTGAGGTTTATTAAACAATTTGAAAGTGTGTCGAAAGAATAGTACTAGCCTCAAGTATTTTTTTGTTCCACTTCAATAAAGTTTTACAGCGTAGTGTTTACAAAACAGTGGAAGCCTCAACGCGGTTATAATTTACTACGGAATGATTTAAGGTGTTCCGCTCTCGACGCTTTATTGGCCATCACTAATTTTAACAACTCTCTTTATACGCTACAATGTGCGCAAAAACGTTTCATCTCATTAACGACACATGTTTTGATTGTTACTTAAATTCGTTATTAAATAGAAAACTAGAAAAAAGGATAGATATTAGGTTGAATATTGATTTACATATATACATTTATCCTATATTCTTACGATGAAGGAAAACATCGTGATACAACTTGCACATATCTGTGAAGAAATTCACTGAGCTAGCGTGATTGACTATGACCTAGTCACTGTCACAACTTAGGGTAGGCTCCGACCCACACGATGTGGACGTATAGTGAGCTGATGATGATGATGAAGAAATTATTTTTATATAATACTACTTTATTTGAAAATGCGAATCATTTACGTCGCAGGTATAAATCTTAAAGTTTTTCTTTGAACAAAAAATGTCCCAGAAATAAGGTTCGATATTAGAAATGTGCAGCTGTCAGCGGCACTAAGAAAACTAAAATTACAGTTCAAAAGTTGTGTCGGAAATGCTAAGTCGACCTTACCGGCGGCCATATTGATTTTATTCCGGCCCGACTACAGTTTAATACAAAAGCTGTCCACTTATAGAATTTCCATCTAAAGAATACTTTAAATGGATAATCTGAATCCTTACGCTGCCGCTGAAGTTTGCATTTAAATAAGTCCATTGCAAGTGACTTTTTACTTCTTTTGGATTTGAAAAAAATAGAGGAATATTTACGCGCAGTTTCTAATTCAATTCATCGAGTGTCAATTATTGATTAACATTAATTTGGGCTACTAGATTGTTTTTTAATAATCGCAATAAAAGCTGTGTAAGACATTTTAAAACTTACTTTATGTTATATTATACATTTAGCTTAATTTGGGAAATTTTTCACTATACAGGTTACAGGTTACTACGCATACATCACGCACACTAATGATAATAAGAAAATCTTCATACTTTTAAACGTCAAACTTGTATGAAACGTCTTATCTAGAGGTAACGTATCTATGGTAATATCTACGTAGTTACATGAATAAATGTCTTTCAGAAACTTTCTCTTTGGTCTACCTTGTATAGAACTATTATTGATTTAAACTGCATAATAACAGTACCTCAATAAAATCGAGTAACATTGTGTTCTACATAAATATTCAAATAAAGACGTCAACTTTAAAAACAAAGGTTCTCTTAAAACGTAAGTACTTACTGTAATAACTCGTTTTTGCCGTATTTTTCAAAAATGCACAAATAACAATAAATAGTTTAAACTTATTACAAACAAAACACACTCACAAGTTAATTAACAAACTAAAACACTAAAGCGCTACATAGAAAAAGTCGGACATTTTCATTTGATTAACAAATGTCAAAAGAATTAATTTCCCATCCGTAGTCAAATGACGTTCTAAAATCAAAATAATTATTTCATTCTTAACTAAAATAAGTAAAATTAATGATATGATAATTAATTATATTAAAAAAATGCATTAAAACTCACATTAATAATTTGTTTCACGTCATTTAACCCTTATTAGCCTAGAGTTTCAATTTTGATACCAATCTTTTAAACCTAATGTTCACATTACTCTTAGTTTTTTATAGGTTGGCTGTACCTATTTTACTGTTGTATTATATTCTTTCCAACGAAATAAAAAAAATCATTATTGTTTTATTTTATCAAGCAAACACAGTAATATTAAAAATAAATCACTTTCGTATGTAAATCAGGCTTCTAAGGGTTAAATAATATAACTATTATATTATTTTGTTCAAGATTATTTCAACAAATATTTTTCATAAACTAATTACACTACAAAAAATACTAAAATATTCAGTTAGTAATTTTTTTTATTTTTAATAAACAATAAAAAAATAAAATGTTAATTTTAAAATTTTATAAAGATTATTGAAGTTATTCATTGTATATTTCTATTTTAAAACGTAATTTATCTATTTTCTTTGAATTGCATCGTTGTGATATTCGTTGAGTAAATTCCAATTAAAGAGTATCGTTAATTGGGTCAGTGAGTTCTTTTAAACTGAGTCATTTTTATAATGAAAATATTGAAATTTTGTATTATTTTGAAATGATTATGTTTAGTTGTATTTATAATTTTATTTATATGTCAATTTTTATTATTACGAGTGCATTTATAACATAAATTATAAAACAAATTTTATGCAATATTGTAACGTATATTTATTTTGTATAATGTGCAAGATTATGTTTTTTTTTAAAATAATAATTTATGAATATCTTACTTCTTACTAATATTATAAAAGCCAATGTTTAGATGGTTGGTTGAATATTTGTTTGAAGGTATCTCCAGAACGGCTGAACGGTATCGATGTAATTTGACATACATATAGAATATAGTCTGGAATAATACATAGGCGACTAATTATGTTTTTTAATAGTGTGCGGACGGAGACGAGGGCGACCGCTAGTTTAAAATACAATGCATTAAAACTATTGAATTTTAACTTTAGTTTAGAATTCTATTATAAATAATGTATTGTTCATTTTAAATATGTATTTAACAGGAAAATTGCATGTAAGAAAATATTCACCTACCTTATATCTCGAAGCATATTCGGTGATCCTCAATTAGGGTACATCAGTCCGGGTAATTCCATTGTAGCACTTCAGAAAGAATCCAGCAGAAGAATTGATTGTTGGTAAGTTATTAAGTCTTTTATTGCACTATTCACAACCGTATTAGAAATGAAAAAAAGTTTCAAGAGTCTGTGTCAATAAAACATGAACACTGAATAAGGTAGACGTAACTTTATAATACAGATTGTATAAATATACTAACTTCGTTCTAGTTTACTCACAACTTTTGATGTAACAACCGTTTATTGATAAAGTCTATCCACATGCAGTGGATGGGACAGAATTTTATGCACTATATTTATTTATCACAACCATGGTTGATCAAAAACTTTCAGTCTACTCTAGTCCGATAACTACATTGTTCTACACTAAATTAAAACATTTTATCCTATATTCACAACACTGAAGAGGTAAACATTGAAGAATAGAAATTTACATTGTGTCGACTTTAAACACGCTTTTTTATTTTATCATATCAATTCACTATTATACACAGCAGCACGATTTCATAGTAAATTTAGGGTAAATGCTATTGTTTTTGGCACAATTTAGTTACTCGTAACAGCTTCCATTGTATCCACGTGAGATTACACGAACATGTTGAATTATCATTACGTTATATCGCGGTAGTTAAACGCACGCTTACGTTTGACGTATTAATAAATAGTTATATAAAGAGGAAAGCGCGGCAAGTCGATGTTTTCGGACGGCCGCGTGTGTCGGCTAGTGTTGGAACTGTCAGTGAAACTGTGTTTCTGGTACTAGAGTACGACGTGTGTACCCCGAACTGTTTGTGCTTTGCTACTAGACACGCGCTCCTCGCTGCAACCGCTGAAAGGCGAAACCTGTTGAAATAGGACGGGGGGCTGCGTGCGAGCGGGACGGCAATACGCTTCACGCTTGCGCCTTCAGTTTTCAGGAGCTTACTTTGTTCAGACGACTTGTGTGCGTGAAAATTTGCGTGGCTACGGCCCAGTGAATCGGTGTTGGTGAGTTGTGGAAAACTCTCTTAGGGTGTTTTCACAAGCGCTTGGATTTTCTCGCTTTTTGTTAGAGATCGCTAATAGATTCCTTTTAATATAGCGCGTCGCGCGTATGCTCAAGGTTACTCAATTTTTCTTTATTACATTTCTTATACACTTTGTTTTTCAATATACCTAATTAAATATAAGATGTAATTATTTAGTACATTATCGAAAAAGCTGTTTATATTTATTATATTGTCTAGATAGATCTAGACTATCCATTGTTAAAATTTATTTATTTTATTAGCATACTTTTGGGAGCAACTAACAAAGCTAATATAAAAAAGCTGGGGTGTAAAAATTAGTATTAATCAATTTAAAGTAGCATTGAGAGCAATATAAACAAGTGGCACACAGATGCGTGACGTTATCAAAGAGCACGCAACCGTAGGCTTCGCGGCGAGACGTGATAGCCGAGCACAGCCGTGAGAACGAGACGAGGCGAGTGGCGCGGCTGCGTACGCAACGGCCCTCGACCACCTCACCCACACCGCCGCACCGGCCGTCGGAGCCGCCTCTGACAGCCGCGCCGTGATGTTACCATGTACCCTTCATTATATCGAGAATCAATTGACAAATGGGCATAACGCCGGCCCGCACACACGCGCCCCGAGTAGCCAAGGGCGCCTTTAATTGAGGACCATTGTTCTTCGCCCAAAAGGGCCCCAGTAATAGAATAACGTCTTCAATTCCGCGGGGACAGCCGCTTCAATTCCATAGTTTACAGAGTACCTTTATTGAATAAGTGGGATACATTCGCATGGACCTCTTTCATCTGTTACTATTCAGGAAAAGATTTTATTGTTGTGTTTTCTTTGTTTGACGTTTTCTTAACGTTGTAATTTAGGGATCTAAACCCTTTAAATTGATAATAGTCTAGTGCACTCGTACCTTCTATTAAGAGGTCTTAAACTTACTCAAGCTTTACTGCTTGAAATATTTAGTCTCAAAATAAAAAAAGTTTTCGCAATTACCCGAAAATAATTAAGTACCTTTAGATTTCGCCTTAACAAAAACCACTGTAAGATTTTTTCACTTGCAAACATTTGTTAAGTATATTGACAATCTTAATAAACATGCTGTACTCGTGGAATCTTATTACGTCTGAATTTCATAATCCTCCACTCGGTTTCAAGTTGAAGTGAGGCCACGCGGCACAAGGTTGTGTATAAAATCTCTGAACAATTAAACCGCGTCGGGCGTGCGAGGTGCGGGGACGTGCCACCCCGTCTTCGTTTACAAGGCGAAGGAAACCCGATACGTCCCGACAACGTAAATCATCCCTCAACAAAAGAGTAAATGAAAAAAGAAGCCTCTCTCGCAAACAATTTATTCAGCCGGTCTCGTTGCCGTGATCGTTTAGAAGCAATGTAATTACGAACAGGAGGGAAATCCTAAAAAACATCGCGAATATTGACAGATCATTGATCTGTTTTGAATTATTTCTTCCTTCATTTTTGTTTATTTTTATGTCACTGGTAAATTTGCCTGGGAAAATCATAAAGACTCAGCAAATTGCATTTCGAACGAATTCATTTGAAAACATAATAGTCATTACGCCTAAGTAATAAAGAAAAATACGCTTTTTGTTGCTGCATATTCGTTGATGACTTTGAAACGAATTCGAGAAAGAACAAATACTGTAACAATCGTTTCAACTTTTTGTATTTTCAAATTGGGAACGTATCCAAATAGTTTTCATTATCTAAAACCGTATCATTAAACAAATTAGCTTTTAGTATAACCATGCCGATACGTTGACGCATGCCTTTTAAACACCGTTGCCTTGTTATTTGTGCAAACGTTACGTTGTTAAGGGTTTTATTATTAACTCAAAACACGTAATTTTATAATTATACTAGTGGTCGTCTATTGTTAGAAATTCGAACATAAATCATATTCATATATATAGAACATATATAGAAACACGATTAACCAATCAATGAAAAGAAATATAATCATAAAAATGATCTTTTTTTGACAACAAAACCCAATTAATAATCATGGTGCACAAACGAAAAAACTGTGTTTTAAAAAAAAAACCTTTTTTATGGGACATCGTAGTCAAAGTTTTATATTTCGGTATGGATTAGTTTATAAAAATAAAACTATCAAAATGAAGCGTCGCCATCCGGTATTAATATATTTAAATAGTAAACAGGAAGTAACCTAAAGTCGTTATCTTCACTTTACTAGCTTGTTTTTTTTCTATAAAATACGTTCTCTTATATCTGCGAATATTTTAATATTTGAGACATGTGACCATTTCAAATTTACTCTAATTTTGCTACTAAATAAAATATATCTATGGCAGTACTAAATCTTGAAACTAATATGTTATCGTCAGAACAGCACACGTCATAAGTAATGAATATTTATCGCCGTCATACATTTTAGTGACATATGTATCTAATTATGCAACATTTCCGGTCCGCCATGTTGACTCGACTCTTATATAATGCCGTAATTAAACACACAGTAATTTTATTTAACCTACGTGAAACTTTTTTTTATTCATACACCGACAAAGTTGTTGTCGATCTTACCTTCCGCAATTATTAGAGCAAAGTTTATGAACAAATAATTTGCAGCTTTATATAATAAGGAGTTCGTTGCAAGTGCCTGAAGTGCTCTTGTAAAAAGGCTAACACGATAATGCGAAAGGCCTTCAAGAGTTTGATCAAATTAATTTTTCTTTTTAATTTCGAGGCTTTCATGAGTCCGCCGTGACGGTAACATACGCTTCTTTTTCTGTCTCGGAAATAATTCTGCGTTTCGTCTGATGAGTGTACCTACCGGATGCCTAGCCCTTTTCAGCCTTCCTTATGAGGACATGACGGTCCCATCACCAATGGATTTGCCGGAGAAGCAAAAAGAAATTCCCCTTCAAGTGTCCCCTTGTTTGATATAAAACTTAAAAAATGTAAATAATATAATATACTATAGCAATAAAATCACTGTATTGATACAAGGTGACTAAGATCGAGTCATCGTCGTTTAGTGAATTAATCAACTATCAGTCTTATTAACACTAACAATAATTCGCGAAAGCAATAACAGTAAATAATTTAGTAAGAATAACGACCACATTGGAAAGATCATTCTGGAAATTATGATTATACCTAGTGTATAATATTACTTCCAGTAATCGTGTCGGCCATTAACCGCTGCACTTCAAAGAACTCGTAACCATCTAAAAACCTTGTTACGATTTCGCTCACCAGCTGTACTGAATGCTGAATGTGTCATTTATAAAACGTTCTACCTATATCAGTGTGATTCTGTATGTCATATATTAGTCCATCTTTCGTTTTCCTATGCCGTCCTCCTCTTAACTAACTCCTGGTCTCCTATCTATGTTCAGCAATAATGGCATTGACTTCTATACATGGACAGGCTATACAAAATGGTAGTTTGTGCCTATTTTATTATCGCCATTTTGGCGCTGACTGTTGCGGTTGGTGGTGAGGATTCGAACTAATAATAGAGAAAACTATTTATCATGAACATGAATAAAGGTGTTCAAAAAAGCCATCACCTACCCATTAATAGAGATCAGTGAATAAAAGCCATTGTAATATTACTAGTTAATGTTTTGACACTAGATGCTTTTGACATTGTTATTGGTAATATAATTGTTAAACATAATATATAGATTACCAGCAAATTATGAACTAAAGTGTCCAAAATCACAGGCAGATACTTTTACTTTTAATATTCATCAGTTCACTATACGTCTTCACTGATGCGCTCGGAACCTACCTTAAGTTAGGGGTGACTAGGCCATAGTCAACCTGGCCCAGTGCGGGTAGGTAGACTTCAAAAATATCTTTGAAATTCTTTGCAGATATGTGCAAGATGTATCACGGTTTTTCTTTTCACGAAAGACATATTGGTACAAGGCGGGATTCGAATACAGGACCTGCAGATTGCATGTCAAGTGCTTTACGCCTGTGCCACCGAAACTCTAACCTAATCATTTATATAAATAAAAGAATAAAGGATAAGAACTTATAACAAAACTGTCAATGATTTAAAATATTATTGTATACACACGAGACTCGGAAACGGGTCAATGTCGTCTGAAAATAAAAATATCTCGCGTATCTCTATTGTGTACCCTTTTCATCTCCACTTGGGCAGAACTAAGACGTTACACAAAACACCGCTTAAACTGGTAAAGTATTCCAAAGGCTTATTTCGTCTTCGTACAGTTTTCCTTACCACGTGTAAAGTATTAAATAATTTTCTTTATAGAATAATGTCAAATAATATTAGGAACATTATATCAATTACGATACTACTTTTCGATATTAAAAAAAAGATTAATTTGTATATTTTTTCGTAATAAATTGAATTCGTAAGAAACTGTTTACCATAAAAAATAAGTAGTAATTGATTCTGTTTGTTTGAGAACATGCTATCAAGCTAATGATGAAGAGTAAAGATTTTAATATGACGTCATCTTTCTTCTCCAATCCCCCATTTAGTTAGGAAATTCCAAAGAAATGTAGCAAAAGATCTAGGTCTAAAATGTCAAATTAAAAAATAAGTATAAAAAACACTGTGAATAAAATGTGAACCGTAATTTGCCGCAGTCTGCGGTTAGACTGTAATCTGAATTTTTTAGTCTAATTACCTTCGTTGTGAGAAGCTAAATGTCTATTATATGGGTAATATGTGAAGATTAATTATTGGACATATTTTGTATTACATGCGTATGATATGCGTATTATAATATTTTTTATGACTAATAA